GATTTGTAAAAATCTTTGAATATATCTTCTACTACTCTAAACCTGTGGCTCGCGTGGAAGTAGGGTACCATATAGGTCACACATTGCATTAGTTTGAACGATAGCAGTTTCGGAGAAAGAAATTGACTATTCAAACAATATATAAATGTTAATGTATTTCCAGTCTATCAGCATTACATCTGAGGCACAATAAGGGACGTAAGAATTTATATACTTGCCACAGGCAGGGTTTTATCCGAGAACTTATCGTCGAATATGCCTATATTTGAAGGGTACCTGAACTCCCCGAAAACTTGGAACCACGCATTTTTTTTGGAAAAAGGGTTCTGAGAAACTCTTGGAATTGACACTCTAACACAGAGTTCCCCAAACTTTTTTGTGTCGTTGACCCCTTGCCAGGTTTTTCCGTGTTGGGTAGACCCCCTACTTACCTGCTATTGATTTCCTGTAAATTTCTAACTGTAGTGAAGTTTAGTGTTAAAAACTTAAAGTAAAAACACATGTTAATTTATACATTTATTAATTGAATTTAAATTAAAACTACTCAAAATAAAATTTTGTATCTGTTATGTAAAATATACGTAACATTAAATAAACAGGTATCTGACCAATAAGTGCCCGCATTGAAAAAAAAAAATAAGAGGGATAAAATAAAAAAAAGTGAAATATAATAAAAAAAAAGTTTTTTACTTAAAATTTATTAATTATAACATAAACGTATGTTCTACAATAATTTCACTGTTAGTTTGATTAAATTCTGCCTCTTATACGTTTAAGTTATCTAAAAATAGGCAAAAAATTAACGAATTTTAGTGTGTACCTATCCTTGAATTTTCAGAATAATTTAAAAAAAATATTTCTATCTTTCTTTAAAAAAATCAATGTGGGCACTTATTCCCAATGCGGGCATTAATTGGTCAGACACCAATAAACATAAAATAAACTATAAATAAAATAACATAAGCAATAAGTCAATATTTTTAGTGAGAAGGATGAACCTGATGCTTCAATAATAAATTATCAACATTCGGCGTCAATTTTGTAAGGGTTAATCTTAAATCTCCTCGGCTAATGATGTCCAGTCTGTTTCTTTTTTTCGTTAGGAGATTGGTAACAGCGCTGTACCCCCTTTCCACTAGATATGACGATGGAAAGGAAATTAAAAATTTCCTCGCTATATTTCATAATACGGGATAAGTAACGGGTATGTTGTTTTGCAGCCAGAATTGCTGATATCCGTTTTTAAACAGAACCTTAAGTTCTTCGTTCGTACTTAGTTCAGTCAGTTCCTCTTGTATTATGACATTCGTTTCTTCTATGTCACCATATGGATTAATTATCCACGGTGGTATTACCATAGTCAAATTATCCTCAAACCTAGATTCAAAATCTGAATAGAGGGCATTTAAATGTTGAACGTAAGTTGAAACGTCGTCCAATATTTTGCTTCATAAGTTTAACTCTGGCAAGAAACGCTGATAAGGTGGACTTTGTTTTAATCAAATTTAAACTGTCGCCTTGTAATTGCAAATTAACCATATTAAACTTTGTAAACAAATCTGTTAAATAGGCGATGTCTGTTTTCCTCTTCATTAAATTTCCTTTTAAAATTTTATCTTTAGTATCCAGAAATTCTAAAATAGTCTCAAAAGGTGCAAAAAATCTTGTCAAACATAAGCCTTTCGACAGCCACCGTACTTCAGTGTGAAGGAGTAATTGATGAAAGTGCGCAAATAACCGCGTATTCAACGCGTTGCTTCGGATTCGGTTTACTGCATCAATGACTAAATGAAGTGATTCATGCAATATAACACTCAAATTTTTAGCAACTAAATGTTGTCGATGGATGACGCAATGTATTGCTAACACCCCTGACACATTTTGTTTTAAATAGCTTTTAAATCCACGATAACGTCCAACCATGGCAGGTGCTCCATCTGTAGCTACTGATATTATATTTGATAAAGGAAATGCTTTTTCAATGAAGTAATCCTTCAAAACATGAAATATTGATTCACCTTTAGTGTCGGTTATCAAAGTTCTTGCGAAGAGCAGTTCTTCGTAGATTTCTTGATTCATAATAAAACGAACATATGCCAATAGTAATGCTGCATTATCAGGTAAAGTTGACTCGTCCAGTTGTATAGAGAAATGGGTCGTTTGCAAATAATTACATAAGAAGCTTTCAATATCAGAACTCATTTCATCAATACGTCATTCAACAGTATTGGTGCTTAAGGGAATTCTTTTAATGATACCAGATGCAGGTTTGTGTAAAACAGTTTTTAAAACCTCTTCAACGGCTGGCAAAATCAACTTCTCTCCGATAGTATGCGGTTTTCCGGATTTTGCTATAAGTAACGAGATATTGTAAGACGCCTGCAAACCATCATCATTTCTTTGTGACGTCGAAGCGAACATTCTGTCCAGTGTAGGTCTCTTCTGAAATTTATCTTTGAGTGTTTGAAAGTATTTCAAATCTTTCTCTGTTTTATCAGGGTGGCATCTTATCAGATGATCTTGCAGTTTAGATGGTTTCATAGCGTCATTGCCCAAAACTTTGTTGCATAAAAGGCACATAGGCGGTTGTTTGTCCGGCAATGATGGAATGAAGCCAAATTTCAAATAATCAACACTGTACTGTCTACATTTCTTTTTAGATTCGGACATGGCATCAGTCATCTGTGGGCAAAATTAAATTATTTAAATAAGACAGAAAATCCAGCAGCTGTATATTAAAAATATTTTTTGATTTTTCCTAAAACATTCCATAATTCGAACATCTTCTTGCAACAATTAGCTCGAATTACGGAGTATGCACTGTAATTATATTACCGATTGCTAAAACATTCAAAAAGAAACTATTGAGGAGTACTCGTGTAATTTTGCATGATTGAATATTTAACTACTAATAACCAAAGTCATGATTGGCGTAATTTATCTATCTTTACACGAGTACAAAACTAAAATTTAATAAAAAATAATGTACTTACTTTTTTCCAGCACTCTCTAAAACAAAATAACACTGACTCACTATAATTTGTGTGATATACTATCTGTTTATATTTTGTAAAATATTTTCTTAGCACTTTCCTTTTCAAGATTCAGGAAACGAATAAACGTATATGTCCCACGTTCGTATTTATAGAGTGACGAATTGAACAAGTCAGTGCAAGGTAGCGAAGCTCTGAGACTGCGATTCTCAGGTTTTTACAAGTTCAAAATGTATTGCGACCACAAAGCGAATACCAACATCCTACAACTTACACAATTTTATAAACATATATAATAAATTTTTTACTTCATAGGTACTTTTATAAATAATGTATATGTTTTGGTATTATAAGATAGTATGATGTAAGTAAATATTTACTATCAGTGTATGTGTTGAGATCCACTATCGTGGACCCCCATATTCATTTCATGGACCCCCAAATTTTTTTTCGTTGACGTAGACCCCTTGCAGGTTGTCATAGACCCCTAGTGGTCGATATAGACCATTTTGGGAATCAATGCTCTAACACGACGATCAAAGCTAACCGTCCTATAACTTTCTTACATATCACTCACGTAATATTTTAGGCAAAATCCAGACAGTTAAGCAGTGAGGAGGAATCAACCACTCAAAATATCAGCCCCTTTGGAAAACCTGTTATGACTCTGACACACTACAAACACTTGCCTATTGCTGTTCTTTTCACTCACGTGATAAGATGATCTTAGCCAGTTCCGTTTAGATATTACAGCTGAACTTACGTTTCGGCGGCTGGTAAGTAAAAAAATAATTTCTTATTTATGCATTCATATTTGTTTAGTATGACTAGGTTTCACTAATTCCAGGCCACAAATTAATGATATAGTTATTACTGTTCAGCACTGGCTATGATGTCCTCTAGCACTTTAAAAAACAGCCAACAAATTCAAAATAGCGGGTGGTGGAAGACTTTACCCACATAGCATATGATGATGCCCGTTAAAAATAGATCATTTAGATCGGCAGGGATCGACTGGAACTAACGAAGTATTGCTGATATACCTTCCATAATAGTGGACTAAAATTATATCCTTCGAAAGTCAGACACCTTTAATCCAAAAAGCGTAATGTTTGATTTTGTTTAAATGAGTTGTTATTGACAAAAGGGTGTTGTGTCAATGCACTTTCTATCCATTTAAACTGTAGTCGTTCCAACCAAAGTATGACATCTCCGAAAGCTGTATCTTTTTTTTTAAGTCGCTGATCCCGAATTTATCAGAATTAATGTATTTATTATTAATTTTTATTTGAATGGCGGAAAAAATATACTTTATCCGGTGCCAAAGTTGATATAACTATACCACAACAAAATTAGTTTTCTCAAAAACGATTCAAAAAAGATCGAAACTTGGGATTTCAAAAAATGTCATCTCTAAGCTTTTATTGTAAGGGATGTGAATTTGCATTTTTTTCCTAAGAACTATATCAAAATATTATTTATTTTATTTTTCAGAACAACCATCTAAGATGGCCTTCAAGTACAAACACAAACAAGACAACATAAATAACAGCAACGATGATAACAAAGGGAAGTCTATTAAGAAAATCGCTATAAAGTTTGCCAACTTGTATACTTGTATTTTTGATGAATGTATCTGACTTAGATACTTGTATTTTTTTAGTAGACATTGTTAATCATAACGACCTTTCATTAGTAAAATCTTCCTATATCTGGAGTAATATCTTCCTGTCCACTCTGTTGGCATAAGCCAATAAGACTGTCAACTATGCGGGAACTGTGCAAGATCCACATATGGCTTACTATCTGCGCTTTAGTATCCAATTTTAATCGTCAATATCATTTCACATGAAGCTACGTGCTCTTAACTGGAAAACGGGTCAAGCGTCTCGGTTTTCCATTGGATACAGAAAAACTCAGCAATTATCAAAGCAGGAAACGATGAAACAAGAACCGTATAAATGCAAGGAATTAAATAATACAAGTGATACAAAAGGTACAATAGTTTATTTCCCTTTCTTTATAAAAATACATATTTTTATTTAATCTCCTAACGATAATTTAGTATACTCCCAGTTAAGAAAATCACATTTCTATTATTAAGAAAAGTCTATTTACACAGTTGTATAGTTCCATGCGAGGTCCTTGAACTAGAGTTTATAAGGAATACAGTAATAAAAAATAATAAACTATGATTCACAGGACCTACTTCCAATGGCACTAATTTCACAATAAATTAAGGCATTAACGACTATACTAGAATAAATTAGTTAAGGTTAGATCACAATTTCGTTCGAATGGTAAAAAAATAAAAGAACCTATTAAGTGAATCGAATTTTCTATAGCTGCAATACACTAATCCCTTTGCATCTAACCACCATTTTCGCGTATACAGCTTGAATACCAGTACATACCTGTTAGACAATTAAAGTAACAGTGTATTCGGAGCAGTCACTTTCATAAAAACAAATACTCCTTATTACTGCAAAATTTTTACTAGATGTAAAACAAATACTGATATCGCACGTATACAAGATCTCAACTTACATGATCCCATTAATAACATCTTGTTGAGTACCGCAACAATTTTGGCAAGAGAAGAAGTTTTCTGGAATACATACTGCGCAGTGGTCAATTGCAGATAGACATAAAAATTTAACTTGACATTTTATGAGTACAGCAAGTACTTTGCCAATTTTCGAGAGAAAGCTCTACATGATAATAATCTGAGGGTATCAGATTCTAATTCGACCGATAGCGAGCAACTGTGACATCCAGAGTGCTTAACCATTTGCTTAGTTTTGTTGAATATTTTTAATTTTTTTCAACGAAGCCTTGTCATTGAGATTTTTCGATGACCACTAACTTTCATAATAATGTACTGCTTCTGGTCCACGTCAGGAGGACAATTCATGAATAGGTGGCTGTATTACCCTTCGAGGAACAGTACCGTTTAAAACTTCTATGATAGAAACGCCACCTCCCGAGTTTTTCTATCGATGCTAGACACTTTGCAGTCATTGTCTCGTCTCGAAAGATGAAGCTAATTTTGCGATGAAAGGTTTGGAGATATGATCAGCCCAGGAACCTTCTATTTCGCCGAAAATGGGTCCATTCACAAACATATGCGATAGACAGCTGACAAATCTGCCTGTCAGAACCACTGTCACCTTTTGATCATTCTAATCTCTCGTCTTCAAGAATTGACCTCCTGAGTGGGATCCGTAGATCCTGTGTTCTTCACTGGTTGACCAGAAACGAGATAAGAGAGAGAAAATAATAAATGAAACAAGGAAGAAAGAAGCAACAAGGAAGGGGGTACCAACAAAAAGGAATAAATGAGTCGGGAGTTAACTTAGGTGCGCCAGTTTTCAAACTGATACAACAAATTAATTTTGGAGTCTGAAACGCTATTCTCACCAAGAGCACTTCGATGGCAACGTGACTACAAAGGGATTGGGCGTGTTTTGATGTTGCGACAAGTCAGTGCGGATAACACCTTTACTTAAAAAAAAGCGTACTAAGAATGCAATTCATAAATAGGTGAAGCCAGATTAATAATTACGTTATTTGTTATATTTTTTAGGATACAATCAGAATATCAGCTGGAGTGTCACAATAGCATACATGAGTCTGGTTTTTTTTTGGTGAGAACAATAAAATGAAATTTTGTTTGACCCTTAAACTGCATGTTTTGATTGTGTTTACAAAGTTGGTACCTGCTCGCCTATGTAGCAGATTGGCTCACAAATTAAATGTTTACTGTGTAGTGTTCTTCTACTTGAGACATAATTTTAACGTGCTTAGTCGCTGACAGGATAGGTTTGACAATGTCACCTACACGGCCTAACTGCTATAGACAACAGGACCTATATTGATGTAGGAAATAATTATATATAATAAATTATAGCTCTGAAACCGTTTTTAGAAAGGCGTCCTAAGCATTTTTAGTTGTAATGTATTGAGAAGAACCATGTTTCCTATATGTAGTTGACGTATGATCCAAAGGCAGTCGAAATGTTTGGTTTGTTGAAGGTTTGGTACTTGTTCCGCTTAATATTATATAAAAATGGCAATAAGGATTCTCTACGGTTACTAATGGCACATTAATCGGATACTGCGCTTTGCAATTGACCACTGCGTGAATAGCATTTCCTACAATCAAACAGGTCTAGGATCATAAGGCGTCGCATCGAACCCAACATATCTGTTATTTTTCCTATGCTTGAATCCTTCCCCAGGGGCCGTGTTGTAGTAGATCACTCTCCTGATACCAAACGGATCAATGTATCCGAAACTACCTGACCTCTTGTCACCAGGCAACGTTTCTTCTTCGTGGTACGCTCTTGGGATGTAATACCTGAAGCCATCGTTGGTGACTGAAACTCCATCGTACCTGGCGTACTGGGGGTCATGCGAGCTGTCCTGAGTTTGACCGTCATATGGGCGACCATTCCGGTCTATCGGGTATGTAGGGCCATTCTGGAATCTGAAAAAGTTTATTGGTTTTAATATGCCCTTCTTCTATTCACTAATAATAAGATATCTTCTGGTTATAGTGAGGTGTGAAAATAAACGCAGTTCAACTTAAAGCATTGTCATAACGCAATACTAGATCACATAGAAAAAATACCCAACTAACAATTATCACTCCTATTAGAGTTGCAAGAATGATTATACAGTATTCCTTACACAGCATTGTATACTGTAAGAACATTGGCAAAACCCTATACAAACGGAATGGGCACACCTAATAGGACACTTCAGTCATTTAAGAGGTTGTAACGTATAAGGGCTGCAGGTTATACAACAAAAGTGTAAGCCTCTTGCAGCCGCTATAGGACATTTGCGCCAGTGCAAGATTCAGTTTTTGTCAACTATACAACTATTCTGTTACGTGATTCTACTTTATTGCAGCCAAACTATTTCTTATGTATTGTATAGACGAAGTGAAGAATATATAACTAGGACAATACAGTCATCTTGTTTACTTACATATCGGCCATTGTGAATTTCATACACAGGTATATGATAAACTTCTACACTGTGATATATTATTGAATTACTTGCGCAGCAAATTTTATTATGATTATCGTGCAAAGTAGTTACGCAATTTCTACGGGCTTCGTATTTGATCCATATTTTGATAATGATCAAAAGTATGTCTAGATTTTTAAGATGGAAAACTGAACTTATTTGCGTTAAATCTTCCACAAATCCTATAGTTAGACACAATTACACTAATGTTTATCACTTTATTTCTGTAATTTCGAACTGAAACATAATTATTTAATATCAAATAGAGGAATAAATGTTTTCCCAATATGGCGGGTGATTGTGTATAATCATGGCATCCGTCCATGTTGTCTTTAGTTTATTAGAATACTTTGGTGTTGCCTGCAGGTGTTATACCACAATTTGACAAATGTCAGAAATGAAATACCGACAGAGTCGAATGATTTACCTAGAATTTGTACCAGATCTATATCTTCTGTTTGAACAGTTGATAAAACCTTGCATGCGTTGTTTGTCTTAAAACATTGGTTATGGTATTTTAACAAAAATATGACAGCAGAAAGTTAGGTTATGGTGAAGTTGTATACCAACATATTTAGCATATGTACAGCCTTTAACAGGTACTAACAGTTGTATATAGTAAGTGCCTCCGTTGGGAGCAATTTTTTGGCTAAAGTAGTAAATTTGCACAGCAAAACAACAAGGCTCGGGTTTGATTTATAAACGTTACCATGGATGCCACAACACAACCATTTTGACTAACCTGCAAATATGCCATACAAAATAGTTGTATAAAGGTTTATGCAACAGTTAAAAATTTGTCCTATAAGGTGTTGTGTAACTATGCTATAAGAATATTTTAAACACCTCATTTTAGAGCAAATATGTTGCAGAAAGCAAATTTGGATTCCACACAACATTAAGCCAGCATTTTGGTGTTCAGGCAACAACAATAGATAGCTTTTATAGCTGAACGGTTCTTTTACCAAAAGCTTACAGCACTACCTTGTTAGTTGGGTAGCGTCAAGTAGGTTGACTCAGCAATGCCGATATTAGTTCATAAAGGATTATGTTCAGCACAATCTAGACCCTTTGAGAAAAAAAGGCAGTCAAAAAGTTCCATACAATTAGTCTATAGATATTATCTTGCTGCTCTATCGGTAGTGCATCTGGAAACGTCGCGTCTTTCCGATACTTAACTCGAACCGACGTGGCGTCGCCGTCAGAGCATAGGAAACACTATGCTGTGACGCGTTAGAAATACGTATGATACCATACCAGAATATCAGAATACTAGGCAGCCACGGTCGGTAGGTACGCGATCCGCCTGCCGTGGATATTCTTCCAAGTTTTAAGAGCTATTGTACATAGAAAGCTATGATAGATGAAATTATGTCTAAAAAGTGCATAGAGTTACCAAGGTTGGGAGAATATAAATGTAAAAAGATCATGAAATTGAGATGAACTTTCTCCGTCTCCCAACAAAATCTCACTTCCAATTTTGTTTTACCCTAATTTTTTTTTAACGAACGAAGCTTCCACTGCTGCCACTGGACCCGTTGTCAAAAACTTCTGCGTTACTGGCATTGTGTAAAAATTTCGTCAAAATCAGAGCGGGTATTTCTCAAGGCTATAGGATTAGCGGACGGATCGACGGCCAGACCGACGATAATGAGTGACATGGTTTTTCGTGACGTACTTGTCATATATCATCCAAAAAGACATATCTCATTTTTGAACATTTCCACAATTACAATACGAGGGATGTATTTAAGTTTTGCATATGGAAATAAAACAACACGGTGGGTAGTTTTAAATGATTTTATTGTTTTTCGAAGTATTCTACACTAAGACTAATACACATCTGTATGCGCTCGAACCAATTTTCGAAGCACTTATTCCACTCCAATAAATCCACGTTTTCCTCCGTTAAATACTGCCTTGTTTTTTGGGCTGTGTGCGAGCTTGCATTGTCTTGGTCGAGGATGATTCTTCTTTCGGGGTTGATTTTTCGAAGCTCGGTGATGATTTTTGGCAAACAAATGGTGGTATGGTGGTATACCAATCCGCAGTAACAGTTTTTTGCTCATTAAGAGGAATTGTTGCAATATGACCCGCTTTTGACACAAATGTCGCGACCATCTTTTTCGAAACACTTCGAGAACGGATGACTTTTGTTGGATTTTCTTCACCTTGGAACACCCAAACAGCCTACTGTCGTTTATTTTCTGGTTCATAACAACAAATCCACGATTCATCACCACTAACAATGCTGCACACATTTTTTGAGTTTCCGGAATTGATACGGTCAAGTGTTTCTTGACACCAATTAACCCTGGCTGCTTTCTGCTCTTCAGTCAACAGGTGGAGTGTCCAACCAGAAACTAATTTTCTTACTACTGATTCTTCATATAAAATATTTTGAATTGAGGTCTTTAAGATCTTCAAGGACGCCTCAATCTCGCGATATGTCACATGTCTATCTTCAATGATGAGTTTGCGCACAGCATCGACGTTTTCCTGGGTGACTGCCGTTTTTGGTGCACCCACCCTGGAATCGTCGCTAAGACTCACCCGTCCACGTTTGAATTTTCCCTATCAACGAGAAATTGTCGACTGATGTGGCGCTTCGTTGCGAAAAACAGACAGTAACGCAGCAAGGCATTCTTGTTGCGATCATTGTCTCTGAAAGTTGTAATAAATTATGGCGCGAAAATGTTCTCGGTTGAGCTCCATCGTTCCAATGACTTGGTGACACTTAAAATTTCACTGTAGTGAGAACACTGCACGTATTGTTGTGAAGCTTTGAATTTGAGTTTACTAAAGAGTGAGGTTAAGATTCAGTACTGAAGTTCGATCCGTGCGGCCTACTATGTTTCTATATGCAAAACTTAAAGGACGTCCCTCGTATAGACTTTCAGAAAAGGTTTGTAGAGGTGGTTCCTTGAGCAGTGTCGAGATGGTGGATCAATCTGCTTGAGGATTCTATTCCCGAGATCTACCAACTTTGGATAGCTTAAAAATGGGATCAACTAAATATTATTAACCTCTTCATAGCAGAAGCAAGCTCTCGGTGTTATGGTTTTTGCCATATGATCTGGTTTAATATAAAAAATATATACGTACTTACGGGATGCTTTTTAACATTTCAAAGCTTACGTACCTGTAGCTGTTATCCACTTGCCGGACGTAGGGATTATACTCCACGGAGTTCTGGTCAGCTTCTTCTCCAGAAATTGGTTCTAGGTCGTACTGATCTGATGACAGGTATTTTGGAGACTGTGTACTGGATGGAAGATAGGTCCTGGCAGGAGGTAGATAAGTAGGTGATTCAGTGTTCGGGGGAAGGTAGATACGAGGAGCTTCGGTTGTTGAGGGAAGGTAGATCCTTGGAGGTTCCGTTACTGGAGGTAAATATATTTTTGGAGCCTCCGTAGTAGAAGGAAGGTAGACCCTAGGAGGTTCTGTGACCGGAGGCAGGTATACATGTGGTACCTCAGTGGTGGAAGGTAGGTAAACTCTTGGGGGCTCAGTCACTGGGGGTAAGTATACTTTCGGCGACTCAGTCGTAGATGGGAGATAGACTCTAGGGGGCTCCGTAACTGGGGGCAGGTATACTCTCGGTGATTCAGTGGTAGAAGGTAGATATACTCTGGGTGGCTCAGTCACAGGTGGTAGATAAGTTGACGTAGTGGTGGAGGTGTACCTAACTCTAGGGGCTTCAGTAGTTGAAGGAAGATACACCCTAGGAGGTTCATCAGGAGGAAGATACTCCCTGGTGAAGTTCACTGGAGGTAGATAACTACTTGATGGGGATGAATAGGTATGGGTAGGTGGTAGATATGTGCTCGTAGGATTGATATAGGAATGTGGCGTGATCTCGACGACTGGAGCCTCCGTGCTGGTCACTAAGGGACCGGACAATATGCTGTTTGATGTGATATCGACATACGTTTTTGGTGTAGAACTCACGATTGGGCCGTACGTCGAGCTTGGCGGTACTGCAATCAAAAAAATATACATTAGGCAACATGCTAAGCAATACGCATTCTGAAAGTTACTAGGCCATGTAAAAAATGACTGATACCATCAAAGCTTCTATATCACTACACAGATAAGGTATGAGCAGAAATGAACGTTGACTTGTTTCACAAGGAAGGTGATAACGTCCATTTTATGAAGATTGTGGATGTGAGGTAATATCAGCGTGTAGTGCATGTGTTCCATTATGTTGATAGAACATTTTATACAATTTTAAAGGCTAGTTCCCAATCTCTGTATATTAAAAATATACTAAGTGACATATAAATCCGAACACTCAGTTTAAATGGTTTTATTTTAATAAAATTTTGTATAAGTACTTAATGAAGCATAATAAGTAAATGATAAAAATTTCAAAATGATTGCACTGCTTTAAAGCCCTTTGACCTTTAATAATGTGTGGATGCACCCTGATGTGCTACGCATTCTCCAAAGCGCCTAGGCATGCTTCTGATCAGGTGGTCAATGTCCTCCTGTGGTATCTCATTCCAGGCAACCACCAACTCCTCTCTAAGTGCTTGTAGAGTCTGAGGAGGACGTTGCAAATTGAGCAATCTCCTACCCATCATATCCCACACGTGCTCAATTGGGGATAAGTCGGGAGATCTTGGTGGCCATGGTAACAATGTGACATCATTATGTTGGAAGAAGTCTATTGTGACTCTTGGAACATGTGGTCGGGCATTATCTTGTTGAAAAGTTGGATCTGCCAGGGTGTCAAGATAGGGTAAAAGATGGGGTTCTAGAACTTCGTGGATATAACGCTGCGCGTTCATGTTACCTATGATAAAGATTAAAGTTCACCTGGAATCATAAGCTACAGCACCCCAAACCATAACTCCAACAGTGTGATGAACATGTCTTTCAACAAAGAACTGTGGATTCCACCTTTCACCACGTCGCCTTCTAACCCTGGCACGACCATCGTGCATGCCTAAACAAAATCGAGACTCGTCACTAAAGACAATACTGTTCCATTCCTGATCCCAGAGTGACCATTGTCTGCACCACTCAAGGCGATTACGTCGGTGTTTTGCAAACCATTCATTTGCAATTGACCTGGTAGTGGAGAAACGATCCCTTAAGGCCAATAATCTTAGGCGGCGATCTTCCCCCTTGCTCTTTGCGTACGGCCTTCTCGAAGCCATGCCTGACAACACCTAACCACAGTGTCTACACTTCTTTGCACTCTAACTGCAATTGCCCGAAAAGAAAGTCCAGCTTCCCGAAGTCCCACTATACGGCCCCTATCAAACTCACTAAGTTGACGAAATCGTACAGGTCTCCGTACTCTAGGCATCGTAACCGATCGTAAAGGATGTCAAGAACCAAAATCCGCCAACGTTGATTCTTTACTGCGGCTGAAATATTCATTTTTAGAGCGTTAGTAAATTAAAAAAAAAGCAGTATAAAAACCGGAATGTCCAACTGATAAGGCTGAAAATTTTTTCACTTGTTATTTACAGTAAGATAAATACATTCACCAACTTTTATTAAAATAAAACCATTTAAACTGGGTGTTCGGATTTATATGTCACTTAGTATAAATCGTTCATGACTATCCTGGCACCGCCTTCCAAAAATATTCACGGCTCTACAAAGTGCTCAACTTATGACCTAGTTAACAAAGATATTTTTTTGATAGATACTTATATTACATATTTCCGGTGTTGTCGACCAGCTGTGATAATAACTATTATGTGTTTTTTCTACAAAGTTGGGAACAAGGCCACCAGCAGCTCGTCCTCTTGAATAAACAGAGTACCGAATTTTCTGAAAGAAGTTATCTGAGGTATTCGGTTGCTACCTAGTCTGTTCATTCGCTGAATTGCTGTAGTCAATTAGTTGAATCTCACTATTACTGATCTGTTTTAACGGAATTAGGGGAATACGCTTAAAAATCCTACTTCTTCACTCTATCTATTACAGTCGCCGAGATACGGCTTCATAAACCTTCATGTTTCTCAGTCAAAATATATGTGTTAAAATAACTGGACAAAATGCAATGGTATTTTGACCTATCCACTTAATGTACCAGAAAATGTGGATGTGTATAAAAACAACTTTGATATTCGTAATGGAGCACCCGGTACAGTCCTTAACGTGTTTGGAATGTATTTCTACGGGGACAGTTGAGGATAATCCTGAACAGTTTTCGAACAGGACTGCGCCCCTATTTTTTACTGAACCTACAATACCCTGAGATTAATAGTGTATGAACTGCCCAACTAAGGGACCCGGTATCTCGGAAGCTAAAAACTTTACGCACAGGGACACCTTAATTCTACGTATTGAAATGCAGAACACACTCAATTTTCAGAGAAATTAGCTCAACGCTATTCTCTATAAGGTTTACGCGAAGACCAATGCCATATCTGGATCACTGATCTGAAAACAAAAAAAGTACCACAGTTATTGCATTTTGGTACTAGATTTTACGTTGGATCTCAAGCGAGCTGTTGCCTTCATGTAAGACTATCTTTGCTCGCTATTATTTATGATTTCCGCGATTTAGTTTCCCTACTGTCAAGGTTCTAGTACTAGATACCAGATCCCCACTTGGAACCTAAAATGTAACTGTGACCAAATAATAAAGACATACTACTGCTACTACAACTGCTATTATTAGAATTTCATATTTATGTGCTAATTATAATGGTTGCAATTAACTCTGTAAAATTAGATGTAAAGCAGTGGGCTTTTTGTAAGGTGTCGCTTATTCTACTTTAATGACTTTGACCTTGTTTGCGTAACAAATGACGATATTAGATTTGTTATCAGACAGTGTTGAATTTTGTGCGGGACGGATCTGTGAAAATATTTTTGGAGGGTTCATATGAATAATTTGTATTTATTCGCTGGAAAAAATGCCGAGGAGGGGGTCAGAATTTTTGTTCAGGAAGATGTCTATCTCAGGAAGGGGGATTTAAAACTGAAGAGCGGGAGGGGTTCGCCTGTAAATTAAAAACCCGTCCGATTTTTTTAAACTCGTATGTTTCGAGAGGGGGGGGGGTCGGAACCGAAGAATCCTGAATTTTGGAAAATTGAAGCAGCAGTGGCGAACAAATTAATAAAAAATCAGTGAGTAGTTGTCTCTGAAAATTCCAGAGCTATCGGTCATCTTTGTGTTCTTTGATTGCATGTTCTAAATGAAAATGAGAGAGCCTATATTTATTGTGCTTCATTTAACATCTTGTTTTCTGTATGCGTAGTTATGAATTATTTCAATATTTAATTGGCTCAGTTTCTGCCTAAGAAACTTATTGTATTGTTAGGATTTTTATTTTTGTGCTAACAACTAACCCGAAAATAGCTCTGAAAGTGGCAGAAGAAATTGGGGTATGCCAAGCGACAGTGTACAATGTTTTGAACGAACATAAGAAAAGCATGCCTTTTTCAAGCCAATGACGGGTAAAAATCGTTTCTTTATCTATAATTTGTATGATGTCACATCATGGCTGGTAGTATTTTTACCGATTCATATTAAAAATATAAAGTATGTTTTTTTTATTGGACCTAAATATCCATCTTGCGCGTTTAAAAATTGAAATCAATGTATTTTGCTTTCCTAAACCAAATACTGTAAGAAATACCGATTAATTCTATGAAATTAGACGTGAGTGAGGTAGCCTATTATTTGAACAATTTTCTTAAACAAATTCCAAAAATTGATTTAAGCTCCAGTCAGAGCTTTATTCAAGATATAAGCGACTTATATTTGAAAAAGTGGATGAAAAAACTAAAATTTTAATGTTGCCAAAGTTCCCTTTACACTCCAAAATACCAAACATGTACATTGAGCGCGCTTGATTAACAATTGAAGAACAAGGAAGACGGCCCTGTCCGCCAAACTGATAGTCTGGTTTGTAGTACGCTGTGAAAATCTTTTTCATTTTCCAAGTAACTAGTGGAAACTAATAAGTGAAAGTGCATCTACGCCAAGTATTAACAACGGGATTATCCCACCATTTGGAATCGCTGTCACTATTGAAGAACTCGAGGAAGCACTAACTACATCAACAAGTTCATGTCCAGGACCTGACGACATCCCATATATTTTCTTAAGAAATCTCCCATCCAATGCTAAACACATGCTAAAAGATATATACAACTTCATTCTTAGATCCAGACAATTTCCAAGCATATGGAGTGAAGCGATTGTAATTCCACTTCTGAAACCAAACAAGACTCAAGATATACCCAATTCTTACCGGCCCATATCCCTTACCTGTACTATGTGTAAGCTGCTTGAGAAAATCCTCAACAAACGGTTAGTATGGTTTCTAGAAAAACAAATGTTATTGAGCAATAATCAGAATGGTTTTCGTAGCAACAGATCTACCATTGACAACATTGTTGTTCTTGAATCGACCATAAAAGCAGCCTTTGCTAATAACCAAAAAGTACTTGCAGTATTCTTCGATATACATAAGGCATTTGATATGACCTGGAAACATCTAATTCTGAAAACTATGCTGAATATGGGTATCTGTGGTGACATACTAGCATTCACCAAGAACTTTTTAAATAACAGAACTGTTGTAAAGGGTTTACCTCGGATCTGCAATTGATGCCGGATGGCGTCCCTGATGCTTTCATGGACTGTAGTCACCACTTACTTTACTTTTTACTTATAAAATCAGGAAAAAACTAGGAGACTAACACACCTGCAACTACTATCCACACTTCTATATTACCTTCTTCTTACAATACATGGTTGCCACATGCAACTTAAAGTCGGGTTACTACATACAATAATAAAGTTCCAAACATACCGCCCGCCTTGAAAGGTCCAGGACTTTCAACAAACATTATTAACGTCAACAGGCAAAACGCACAATCGATTCACAGCACGTTTTACTATAACGCCACCTCTGAGTTTGACTTCACACACTCTGACAACATTGTCAGTTCCAGGAAACAGTTTCACTACACGGCCTAACCTCCAATCCAAGGTAGGAGTATTTTCTTCTTTCAGCAGGACCAAAGAACCTATCTGCAGTCTCGTCCCTCCATCGCGTCTCCATTTAGTCCTAGTCTGCAGCTCTGCTAGGTACTCTTTATGCCACCTTTTCCAATAATGCTGAGTCATCGCTTGCAGCTGCTGCCAGGCATTCAAACGGTTGACAGGTACTTCGGCTAAGTTCGACTCAGGAAGGGCTATTAACTGTCTCCCAATCAAAAAATGAGCAGGTGTTAAGGCTGCTGTATCATCTGGGTCCTCTGTCAGGGGACATAGTGGTCGGGAGTTAAGGATACTTTCGATTTGCGTCAGCACCGTACTAAATTCCTCAAAAGTTAATCTTTGATTACCTATCACTCGCTTTATATGATGCTTAGCACTTTTAATGCCTGCCTCCCACAGACCACCAAAGCTAGGGCTTCTAGCCGGTATAAAATGCCAATTGACACGCTCAAGGGCTAACGTCTCCCCTATTTTCTCAGAATTTCTTTTCAAAAATTTGAACAACTCATTTAACGCATTATTCGCTCCCAAAAAATTCGTTCCATTATCGGAATACACATGAGTTGGTTTTCCTCTACGACTACTAAATCTATGAAATGCAGCAAGAAACGCATCGGTGGTCAAATCTGAAACCAGCTCTATATGTACTGCCTTCACACTCATGCAAACAAAAAGACACATGTAAACTTTACTAGTTTTTGCGCCCCTACCCTTACGGTCTTTTACTAAAAACGGTCCTCCGTAATCTATGCCAATGTTCTGAAATGGAAGGTAAGTATTGACTCTCACATTGGGAAGATCACCCATCAAATAATTTGTGTCTTTAGGTGACACCTTAAAACAAGTTACGCACTTTCTAACTATATTCTTGCAGGAATTTCTTCCACCAATGGGCCAGAACTTATCCCTTATTGCGCATAACAATGTCTGGACTCCGCAATGTAATAGTGTTTCATGAGCATCTCTTAAAATCAACTCTGTTAATATATGACCCTTGGGTAAAATTATTGGATGCTTTTTATCAAAATTCTGCTTAGAGTTACTTAATCTCCCGCCAACTCGCATGACGCCATTTTCTAAAAAAGGTCTCAAAGGAAGCAACTTACTTTTATTTTCCAACGCTTTATTAGATGATAAGCTTCTATACTCTATTGGAAAACAATCTCTTTGTACGAGCGTGATCAAAAGGTTTAAAGAGTTCTCTAGCTCTATTGGGGTTAAGATTCCAAAATTTCTATCAGACTTGGGACATCTCAAATTATCAATAAACCTACGCACATAGCCTGTAATCCTTACAATTTTATTCAAACTCGAAAACTTATCGATTAACCAATAAGTCGTTTTTTATTATGCATGATGCCAACGATACAGAACGTTGTTCCGGTACTTCAAAATTTAGCTCAAAATTGTCTATGTTCCACGCACTGTTATTTAACTTGAAAAAGGATGGTCCATGCCACCACAACTCGCAATCACATAATAACTTAACTGTTACTCCTCTAGTTAGTAAGTCTGCCGGGTTATTAGCAGACTCTACGTGTCTCCAATCTAGTACACTTGTAAGTGACTGAATTTCACCTACGCGATTGGCTACGAAGGTTTTCCACCTCTTTGAATCCCCTCTTATCCAAGCAAGAGTTATCATGGAATCGGACCACAAATAACATTGATCAAAATCAATTTCTAAAATTTTTATAGCTTTATTAAGCAAATTCGCTAATAAGACAGCCCCACATAATTCTAACCGTGGTAAACTTACTTGCTTAACCGGGGCAACTCTTGATTTTGCACATATCAAATTTGATACCGGTTCCCTTGTGCTAAAACTGCATCTAACATATATACAGGCTGCATAAGCCTTCTCACTTGCGTCGCTAAATCCGTGAATTTCTATTCTTATATACTCTGATAAGACCGCCCGCCGTGGGATACTAAGTTTTGTTATTGTCTTCAAATCTTCGCGAAAACGAATCCAACTATCTTGTAAATCACTAGGCAAATCATCATCCCATTCTAATTTCCTAATCCACATTTGTTGCATCAATAATTTCTCCACAATAGTAACGCAACCTACTAAACCTAAAGGATCGAATATCTGACATATTGTAGATAGGACACCTCTTTTCGTCATACGATGGTTTGATAGTATTTCAAAATCTATTTTGTACTGAATCACATCATTATATGAATTCCAAAACACTCCGAGTGTTTTGTTTTGCTCATCTTCACCTATTTCTAAAATATTTGCCTCTATCTCACCATGCGTTTTAAACTTAGCTAATATTTCTTTATCATTACACAACCATTTTCTTAATGGCAAACCAACACTATTTAAAATATCCGATACCTCTCCTTGAATTTTCAATAAATCCACCTCAGATTCTGCACTAGTCAACACATCATCCATATAAAAGTCACGCTTAATAACCTTGCGGGCATCTGGAAACTCATTTTCATGCATATTTGCTACTTCAAATAGACACCTCACTGCAAGATATGGCGCTGATGCTGTGCCGTACGTCACTGTTTTCAACTTGTAACACTTTATATCCTTGGTGGAATCAAAACGCCAAATAATTTTTTGGTATAGCCTCTGCTCTTCAGTAATCCAAATTCTCCTGTACATTTTAGACACGTCACCTGTCATGACTAACTTATGCTTTCTAAACCGCACCAAAATATCAAAGAGATCATCCTGTAGCTTAGGACCTACAAACTGAGTGTCATTTAGTGACAAATCTGAGGTAGTCTTGGCTGAGGCGTCAAATACTACTCTACACTTCGTAGTTATACTTGATGACTTAATAACTGCATGATGAGGCAAATAATATCCTCTATCTAATTCTAACCTATCATCAAATTCTTCCATATGACCTAACTCTAGGTATTCCTTCATAAATGCATTATACTCTAACTTTAAACTTGAGTTTCTATCTAGCTTTCTTTCTAGAAACTTATATCTCTGAAGTGCCATCTCCCGCGACTCTCCTAATTGCTTTACACTCTCCTTAAACGGAACGTTTACTATAAACTGACCATTTTCCGTTTGCCTTGTTGTTCTTTTAAAATATGCGTCACAATAACGATCCGCTTCGGACTGTACTATGTTATCTTTAGCTACTTCTTCCAGCTGCCAAAACTTCTCTAATTTACTGTCTATATTTCCCGTACTATTGACGCATTTCATTTTAGAACGGTTACTTATACTCAAACAACTGATTACTGTATTATCACTTATTTCTGAAGCAATATTGCCAGCAACTAACCATCCTAATTCCGTATTTTGTAACCAAACTAGTCGCCGAGTACCCTTTTTCAACCCGGGTACCATTACCGACCAAAACACTTCTGATCCCAATAATATATCTACTTCATCGGAAATATTAAACTGAGGATCAGCCAACTCGGTATCTCGCGGTATATTTAAACTAGAACTGTCAAAAGAAACTATAGGCAGCTTATCAGTTATGCGAGGAATAACCAGACAATTAATATCCATGGAAAACTCTCTAACATTTGACTTAATGGATATGTCAACTTTACTGGTGATACTCGTGAGTGTCTGTCCCACACCCCTGATAGAATGATTTATTTTACTCACTTTCAAGTTTAAGCGTTTACAGAATTTTTCTGAAACGAAATTACTCTGACTTCCCGAGTCCAGGAGCGCTCTACCGATACAAAAATTCCCTTTTGCATCCTTCACCTGCACTAATGCTGTAGATAACAAAATCTGCGAATTTTCCGCCCGCACATTAGCGGATGTAAACCCTTCTGTAGGCGACGGCAACACCGCATGTGTCTGCGACGACTTCGAAGCCGGCGGCGGCGTTGTGTCGTTCGGCGTTGAACCGGTGACTAAGCGTTCCGACGGTGTCCGATGGAGATTTGGCTCAGCAGCGGTCGCTTCTCGCCGCGGAAGGTGAAGTAATACATTATGTGGCGCTTTACAATTTTTGCAGTTACTCAATCTGCACTGCCGTGTCAGATGGTTATCTCTCAAGCAATTCAGGCACAACTTTAGTTTTCTAGCAGCTGCAATCCTATCACTTACCTGCAGTGATAAAAAGGATATACACTTAAATATCGAATGAGAACCTTTACAATAAAAGCACTCAATCGCAGTTTCTGTGGCTGCAAAACTGTTACTCGTATGCGGTTTTCTACTACTTGTATGAGGGTAAGACTTCCCTCTATCGAAGTGTTTAGCATCTGACTTTACTAACTCCAATTTTTCTAAAACTTCACACTTTTTCTTTAAAAATACATGCAAATCCGCCATTGTAGGAAGATCCCTATTATACTTAAAATTCTCCCAGTCTCTTCTGGTAACCGAGTCCAACTTGGTACTCATGATGTATATAATAAGGCTATCCCACTCGTCTGTCTTTTCTCCCAGACTTTTCAATGATCTGAGATGTTTCATGAAATTATCATAAAGATTTCTTAAATCCGCGTGATTTTCCTTATTCACGGGTGTATGTTCTATGATCGCCTTGATATGATTGAAAACAATCAATCTTTTATTCTCATACCTTTCTATTAAAAATTGCCAAGCACTTCGATAATTATCTGCTGAAACTTCAATAAACTTAATCGTATCCAAAACGTCTTTCTCTAAACTGGTTTTTAAATAATAAAACTTTTGGATATCTGATAGCTGCTCATTACAATCTACCAAAGATAAAAAGGAGTCCTTGAACTCTAACCAATTATGGTAACGACCGTCAAAGGTAGGTATTTTAATAGGTGGCAACTTTACTAAAGTACTATTATTCACTACATTAACTGGATTAGTTGTAACCCTAACAACTGACGAACTACTGTTACTGTTAACTGAGCCAGTGGTAGACTTGACAACCGATGCACCATTTGGCACATTACTTTTGACTGAACCGGTGGTGGACTTAACTCCTGATGCACCACCGTTTGATGCATTACTTGTTGCATCAGTGGAATACTCGAACTTCTTAATAAACGCCTTCATATGGCCAACCAACTTAAAATACTTGTCATCAAACTGTTCTCTTTCAATATCATCATCTGACGAAACTTCCAACTCCTCAATTTTACTTTGAACTTCATTAAATTCTTCCCATGTAGGTTCTACTTTAGACAATCTACTAGAAACTTCCTGTACTATATTATCATCTACCTCATTCTTATCTAATGAGGCAAAAAACCTTATTGAGCGTGTCAACTGGCCTTTCAACGTCTTTCGACGATTTTTTAGTGAAACAATTTCACTCATTTTTACTAACTGTACTGTACTATCGATTTCAACTTTTTACTAAACTTGCGTATATAACTGACGCTAACTTACTGTAACTGATCAACTTTGCGTATATAACTGACGCTAACTGTAATTTCTAAGATCGCGTATATAACTGACGCAAATCTAAGGAAAGGTTTACAGGTGGTGGAATAGTCTTCCGTCCCCTGACCTACTACTGTTGCTACGTGGATGCTACCGTCATCAAAATGGCGGCTACCTCATGCACCGAAAAGAAGATCCGCTGGTATCCGTGCTCGATTAGGACCAAAAATGTTGTAAAGGGTTTACCTCGGATCTGCAATTGATGCCGGATGGCGTCCCTGATGCTTTCATGGACTGTAGTCACCACTTACTTTACTTTTTACTTATAAAATCAGGAAAAAACTAGGAGACTAACACACCTGCAACTACTATCCACACTTCTATATTACCTTCTTCTTACAATACATGATTGCCACATGCAACTTAAAGTCGGGTTACTACATACAATAATAAAGTTCCAAACAAGAACTATAAAAGTTAGCACAAACGGTTTCACATCCAATACTAAGAGCGTAGAAAATGGTACACCTCAAGGATCTGTGCTGAGTACTACACTATTTCTGATAGCCATAGATGGCATAACCAAACTTTTTAAACTGCCTATAAGATATCTCTTATATGCCGACGACCTGATTATATACCTAACCACTAATAACATATACACCGGCAAAGCAATAATTCAAGAAACACTTAATAAAATAGAACACTGGACCATGGAATCAGGATTCCAATTCTCAGCTGACAAGACCAAGTTTATAATCTTCAGCAAATCCAAACTTCAAACAACCAACACAGCCCTTACATTTAATAATAACGAAATCAAAATGACAGACAACATCAAGTATTTGGGGATGATATTTGATTCTACTTTAAAATGGAATCTCCATATCAGACATATAATATCTGTATGTCAGAGAAGATTAAACCTCATGAAAGTACTAGCTAATAAATCATGGGGAAGCGACACCATATCTTTGCTAAAACTGTACCCAGTCACCATAAGGAGTAAGATAGATTACGGTAGCATTTGCTATGGAACTGCAAGCCAATTTGTATTAAAAAAACTATTGACAGCATATACGTTTTGGCTAACGAACCGCCTCTAAGCCTCCGAAGACAATATCTAACTCTGTGCTACGCGGCGCGAACAGCAAGCACACCAAGTAATCCAGCTTTCAACGTCATATTTACCCGAGAGGATACTCATTCTTCCCACAACACCAAACATTTCACAATGGCAGAAAGAATCAAAGAGACTAACTTCAATACAGATCTCTTTCGCAGTATTATCCCTTGTTCATCAAACTCTCCACCCTGGACAGTACCACTACCAGATTTAGACTCAACCCTCAAGATATATCAAACAATGCAAACCGACCATAGAGAAATATATAACAGATACCAAGTCATCATCGAGTCTCATCCGAACTTCAAACTGATTTTTACAGATGCCTTAAAGTCATCACATGGGGTTGGCTATGCCGCAGTCTCTGACAATCAACGAATATCCTCTTCGCTACCACAACATTGCAGCGTCTACACTGGAGAGCTGACAGCCATCAAGGAAGCGCTCAATCTGGCACGAACAACAACAGATGCCAACTTCTTAGTAGTGACGGATTCGCTGAGTGCACTGGAAGGTATCAAACAGTTGTACCCTCGCAACTGCATACTCAGGGGAATTAAGGACATGCTGCGTCTGCTATACAACGACAAGAAGAGGATAAAGTTTCTGTGGGTACCCTCACATACTGGAATCCCAGGCAACGAAGAGGCTGACAAAGAAGCATCAAGAGCGGCAGTCCCTTCAAGCAGAAGTGTGATTCGTACACCCTACCAAGATTTGAAAGGACTAATAAAAGTGCACATAACCAGTCTTTGGCAACAGGAAGAAGGAACCAGATAATTATGTCACGTCTCCGGATAGGCCACATACTAGTGACTCACAAGCACATCTTCGAAGGAACCGATGCCCCAGTTTGTTCCACGTGCAACCAGCGGCTCACGGTGGTTCACATCCTGATGGAGTGCCCTACTTATCAAAATGCCAGAAGTCTCAGCCACCTTTCTAATGACATCAGTGAAGTGTTAGTGCATCAAACCGATAAACTTGTGAAATTTATCAAAGACATTGACATGTACTTCAATACATAGATTATTGTGCCGTCCACGCCGCTAATAACTCTACGAGGTTGATGCGGTACTATCTGTTAAATAAAAAAAAAAATTGAAGAACAAAACGTTATATAACAATGATCTCTAAAATGCTTAGATATTTTAATAATGGATGTTTGAAAAATATTTGTGAACTTTAGCAAGACTAAAGCTTCCGTTCTTTCATGTTATATTTTGGGATTCTTTTCAAATAAATGTATGCAAACAACCTGAATCAGAATATTTTACTTAGCAGATTTGATAATATCATCTGGACTATTAAGGCATTGCAGTTTCAATAGCACTTACCTCGGCCGCTGCTATAAACAACAGGACGTCTTTGGTGATAATTCTTGACTAGACTACCGCCGGCAGAAGGCAGTTTCTTGGCGGCTTTAACAGCATCCCCCACGTTAATGTTCCTTCCTACGTAGACGTTTTTCGATTTGAGTATTCGATATCCGGCATTATCGGCGATGTAGTCACGTTGCCGGAGCATTCCATCGCCGTCGATCCATGCGTAAGTGCCTGAAATATCAGTGGATTTAGCAGCTGTTCGTCAACTAGCAAAGCTACAGAAAGGTGGAAAACTTCCTGAAGATGCAATGTGTCTAATAATGTTGTAGGTGACAAATATCAACGGCCTCCAGACTAACAGCGGTTTCCTCTCTGAGGAAAGACCTGGAGGTTATATGTACTTTTCTCCGCATGACCTTCTGTACACTGCCCAGATAAGACCTAGCCTCGTGTATTGATCACATGTTTGAGGTGCTGTCGCCCCGATTACATTTATCGTTGTTGCAGTCCAGAGGAGGGCTGTCCAAGTGATTGGTGGCTCCTCTTTAACAGACAGCCTCGGGACCCTTTCGCAATAATCACACTAGAATTGTACAAGATGCAACAAACACACTGTCTTGAAATCCCGCAAGAACAGTCTTACTGCATTTACTGAATATTTCACGAGAAACACCATTGAAAGCTATCTTAAACTGTATCAGGAGCAATACTTTTTCATACAAGAATGTTGCAAAGACAGATAATATGCTTTTATGTAATTGACGAGACGCGATAGACTATACTTTACATTATCAGGTTTGGGATCCAGTAATGTTGTAACGCTCTTGATCATGATATTACCGTTATTCTTCCAATCTACAGCTATAATCATATCTAAATCACAATGTTTGCTCATATCTATACAACATCAATGCAATAGGCAAAATGTTTGATAAAATGTTATTAAATGGATGTACCGACATGGGGAAGCCTACGTTGTAGGTAACGATTAATTAAAATTTTGGATAGACTCTTTTGTTTTGCAGAATCAAGCAGTTGGAATATTTGTTACCAAAATGGTGGCGGCCTACACCTCCACCATATTCAATAGTATCATCAAAGTGTAGGTATATTTTTCTATAAAGAGAAGGCAGGCAAGGCAAATATACTAAGTGACATATAAATCCGAACACCCAGTTTAAATGGTTTTATTTTAATAAAAGTTGGTGAATGTATTCATCTTACTGTAAATAACAAGTGAAAAAATTTTCAGCCTTATCAGTTGGACATTCCGGTTTTTATACTGCTTTTTTTTAATTCACTAACGCTCTAAAAATGAATATTTCAGCCACAGTAAAGAATCAACGTTGGCGGATTTTGATTCTTGACATCCTTTACGATCGGTTACGATGCCTAGAGTACGGAGACGATTTCGTCAACTTAGTGAGTTTGATAGGGGCCGTATAGTGGGACTTCGGGAAGCTGGACTTTCTTTTCGGGCAATTGCAGTTAGAGTGCAAAGAATTGTAGACACTGTGGTTAGGTGTTGTCAGGTATGGCTTCGAGAAGGCCGTACGCAAAGAGCAAGGGGCACTGGACGCCGCCGTAGAACAACAGACCGTGAAGATCGCCGCCTAAGATTATTGGCCTTAAGGGACCGTCTCTCCACTACCAGGTCCATTGCAAATGAACGGTTTGCAGAACACGGAAGACCTATTGGCATGTGAAGTGTTTACCGACGAATCAGAAGTTTTGGCTTGTTTTCATACCGGCCACACTGGGTCCTCCCTTTAACTCGAGAACACCGACGTAATCGCCTTGAGTGGTGCAGACAACGGTCACTCTGGGATCAGGAATGGAACAGTATTGTCTTTAGTGACGAGTCTCGATTTTGTTTAGGCATGCACGATGGTCGTGCCAGGGTTAGAAGGCGACGTGGTGAAAGGAGGAATCCACAGTTTTTTGTTGAAAAACATGTTCATCAAACTGTTGGAGATATGGTTTGGGGTGCTATAGCTTATGGTTCCAGGTCACCTGTAATCCTCATCAGAGGTCACATGAACGCGCAGTGTTATATCCACGAAGTTCTAGAACCCCATCTTTTACCCTATCTTGAAACCCTGGCAGATCCAACTTTCCAACAAGATAATGCCCGACCACATGTTGCAAGAGTCACGATAGACTTCTTTCAACATAATGATGTCATATTGTTACCATGGCCACCAAGATCTCCCGACTTATCCCCAATTGAGCACGTGTGGGATATGATGGGTAGGAGATTGCTCAATTTGCAACGTCCTCCTCAGACTCTAGAAGCACTTCGAGAGGAGTTGGTGGTTGCCTGGAATGAGATACCACAGTAGGACATTGACCACTTGATCAGAAGCATGCCTAGGCGCGTTGGAGAATGCGTAGCACATCAGGGTGCATCCACACATTATTAAAGGTCAAAGGGCTTTAAAGCAGTGCAACCATTTTGAAATTTTTATCATTTACTTATTATGCTTCATTAAGTACTTATACAAAATTTTATTAAAATAAAACCATTTAAACTGGGTGTTCGGATTTATATGTCACTTAGTATAAAATTAGAGAAAAAGAGATGACTCCAAAAAAACATACCATCTAAACATGGCTGTTCTAATTTAGTCAGAAATAAATGCGGTGTTACCAGATAGATAATAATACCTTTTTTGAATCAATTTTTTGACCATCACCTGTACGAACGATTTTTCGGTCCAAATTACTTTTGTTATATATCAATAGAGAAGTCACATTTTCCGCGAAATAAGCTATTCTCAATACCTGTACGTTGTCACATTTTAGGGCTCTTTACGGAATATCACAAGACTTACTTTAGTAATAAAAGAAGTACGTCAGCCTGAAATTCAAAAGTTTTCTAACCCCAAATTGCTTATTTCACCAATCGTTGGTCTATTTGACACGGTTGTGAATTATCTAGATGATTTGTTTATTTATTTCGTTTATTTTTGACGTAAGGACCAAAAACCATTCTGACAAATGTAGCATTTTATAAATATTCTCGGGCAGTTGACAACACCGCCTCGGTGGTCAAGGACACAAAAGCCAACCGCAAAGATTTGGTCACATTACGAACTAATATGGGATGCTAAATGCCAGACCTGACAGACTAACAGACTGACGAGGCTTTTAACTAAGAGCAAAGGTCCACCGGACCGCTTTGACGAATAATGACGAATAGGGATGCTAAATACTAGTCAAATCTTACGTATTTTTTGTCACCAAAAGATAGACTATAATGCAGATGACTCTAAAGGTCAATGAGGCCAACCGACGGATTATAAGCGCATTGCACGAAGGGTCTTCTCTTGACATAATTTCTCTTTGGTCTAATGTTGCGGAACTTTTAAAACAGGTAGATGAATAAGAGGCTCTAGAGCATGGTTATAGTTATTAGGAACAGAAACTAATCCTGTCCCTACCTGCAACAATTGACGCTCTAGACAGAGGTATTACTCTTCGATTTCAGGAACTTCTTACATCTCAAAGATATACGAAAGGACACTGAATGTATTTTCTTTCCGTCTATATAACAACGACCAACCGTAGACAGTGTTGGTTAGTGCTTTCTAGCAACTCACCAGTACGGCATAGGTTGAGTTTTGTAGACAGACAACAGGAAAGCAAACACAAAAAGGCCTAAACACCTATGGGGTACCGTGAGGCTATAGGGGGATACAGGGGAAAGGAGGGACCCCACCCGGACTCTTGCGAGATCCGTCGGGTGGTACCTCCGCGTTCGACAGTCAGAGATCGTCTACCACCTACGGAAAGTGGGCACTATCTTTTAAAAAACCCAAAATGATGTGTGCAAATAGGTGAGAATCGCTAACTGCAAGTGGCCACCACCAGCCATATACCATCTCAGCTCAAACGCTGAAATGACAGAAAGATCCCTACGTCTTCTCTTATAACTACAGATCTACATATATAGATGCTACCATCACATCTAAGCATTTTTGCATAAATATACTCAGGCTGGACTGAATATGTTTGCTTTCCATCTCTGTAGCAATGACCAACCTTAGAAAGCACTATTTCGTGCTCTTTAGAAACTTATCAATACAGTACAAGTCTAGTCTCCGAAACAGATCTTCTGTCATTGCAGCGTGTATGCTGATAGTTCGACTTTTGTTTTTATTCCTAGCGCAGTGAAACATCATTTTTTAGTGCCTCAATGTTTTAGGAGATTTGAAGTTGGAGGAGTTGTGGCAATCGGCTTATAAAAAGTAGTTGGTCCAATGTGCGAACTTTTTGGCCAAACGACAAACTTACAGATCTTGGGCATTTAAACAACAATTAAGTTTTAAAATGAAGAAAACACTGTTCATGAAAATTAAAAATACATATATCCTGGAATACTTGATTTCAAAAACTTCAGAGATGCGTTCAACTTAAAGTTTTTGTTGTTTCCGGAACCGATTGACCAGTTTTCGGTCTCCGATCTTTCACCCGCTCGGTGAAAAATTATTGTGTGGAGATTAAAACATCCCGGAGTATTGCTCCACAATATAATAAAAGCACTGGGTTTCTAATAGACATATTAGTAGTATTACTTGGAAAGTCACATTCTTTGAAAAAAATGTTTCCATTATGATATTATTTTATTTGATGCAGAAAGTTAGAATAGGAAATATCTTAGAGGTTGAGATACCTGAGAATCTTTGTAACATGACTTATCAATATTTCCCATTAAAATGAATCAGTTTTTGGCATTTCTCGACTTTTACCATTTTGACTGCAGTACCATCTGTGGTTTTAGTGGCTTTAACAGACGTTTAGCCGTAAGATTTGAGAACTACAGTGCTTACCAAACATTGTAACAGTGAGAAAATGTTTGTGATAGTGAATATTTCCAAGCCTAGACAGTGGACGAGGGGTGTCTACTATCTAGATCTACAGAGACGGTCGCAACAACCAAAGTTTTAAGTTTCTTTTGCTCCCTTCACAAGCCACTTCGAAATCGTCATTGCTGCTGTTGTATTTTTTAATCATTACAACACAACTATCACTATATCAAGTTTCTAAGCTTTATCTAGCTTCAGCGTTGCCGTTTCCTAAGTATATAGTACGCATTCCTGTGGGATACAGGAGGCTAAATATACACAAGTGTTAGTTTAGGTATCTTGTTTAATTACGACCGCTACTAAAAATTTCACTTACCCACGACGGTTCCATCTTCTAGCCTCTTTTCTTTACGATACTGACCGCTGTCCGTCTGGTAGCGGAAGTATCGTTCTGGACCTTCATCCGTTTGGATGTGATACTGATGCGCAGATGGTGCCTCCCAACATCTCGATCCCGATATGGAGTATAATACCTGCAAATAAAACAGTAATTACACATTTCTGATTTAAAGAATAACGATTCTCTTAATTGCTCATTGCAATAATTGAAGCTTGATACGATTTTGCTAATGCTTTACATATATAAAGGAAGCAACTGAGAAGAGTAAGGCTTTGGAGTAAATGCTAGCAAATGAAGCATTGGTACTATACAGATCATAGCTTGGAGGCAGATGTAAGCCAGTTCTCATAGATATATTTTTCTTGATTTCACGAATGTCATCAGGTGGCCAGAATATCTGAGATGGCACTGGCTCCAATAATGAACCTTGTTGGAATCCACAACCTTTTCGGGTTTCTTCACAGTTATTGTTGCTTTACAAAAAAATCTCTATCTTATAGTATACAGGGTGGCGCATCGAAAACGAAACAGACGCATTTACTGGCAGCTCAGTTTTTTTTTTTGAAAAACGCACAGACCCGTCGATTTTGTTTTCGAGGGGGACACAAGTTTGGCAAAAAATCACGTTAGCACATAGAGCCCCCTAAGCGGGGGTGACACCACCCCCAAAATCTTAAATGGAAAGGGGGGTAGAGTGATACCTTATTTTAAAGGTCTTTCAATTCCCTTTATAATGATATTAAATTAATGTACTTCAGTTCAGTAGTTTTGAAGATTTATTGATTTAAAGCTTAAATAAAACTAATACATCTTCATTACTGGAGATCAATACATTTGGCAGCAAAGTATTTTAAAGATGAAGAATAAACTGACCCGTTAGGCAAGTAAATGTTGAAAATGGGCACCATGACTCTCCAAGCAATAATAAAGATTTTGCTCAAAACGTTGCCGCACATTTTGCAATATTTGAGGAGTAATTTGAAGGCACTCATTCACAATTCTTTGTCGCAGGTTTTCTAATGATGTTGGCTGAGTAGCATAGATTTTGATTTTTGAATGACCCCACATAAAGAAATCCAAAGGTGATAAATCTGGCGGTCTTGGGGGCCATTCAATGGCACCTCTTCTACCAATCCATCGATCTGGAAACGTCTGATCTAAATATTGTCAAACACGTAATGCGTAATGTGGTAGAGCACCATCCTGTTGGAACATCAACCTATTTACAATGTACCGCCGATCATTCTGATTTTCAATTATGACTGTTAATGCAGGATCTATGTCATCTTCCAGTAATTCCAAATACATTTCGCAGGTCAAATTTCCAGGTAAGAAAAAAGAACCAACTAAATGATCGCCAAAAAGTACCAGCCCAAACATTTAATTTTGTGTGCTGAGCGGAAGTATATGAGAAAATGGTGGAAAAATGTAAAAATATTGCCGGATATTCTACCACTTACTATTGAGTTCTATCAAATCGTCTCGTAAATTCCGCATTTATTTGTTATGAGTGGAATCGTTATAATGTCACAATTCATTAACTCTTTGCTTTACCCGATTTAAATTCAGAACTAACTACGTAAGTATCATCGATAACATTTCCGTTAAAGGCAATAACGGCAAGACAATAAAGGAAAGTTCCCGATAAAAAGTCGTTGTTGGTTGGGCCTTAGGAAAATATGAGAATTACAAGAAAAACTTAATAAAACCGAAACCACATACATTTTTCATTACCTCTATTAAAATCCCAGAGCTTCCTTTAAGATATAAAGAATTTTTTGTATTTCTTAGTATGCAATCTAGCAAGTCAAAAGCTGTAATGAACCAGTGCAGAGGTAATCGGTTTCAGGTTTGAATCCTGGTCAATGATAACAACGCGTTGCATCTATTTGACCAACGGTCAAAGCAATTTGCAAAAAGTGAGAGTAGCTTTCATTAGTAACGACTAACCAGATTATTACATGACCTTTCTGAACTAGTTTTCTTTGTGTCAATGGCAAATCAATGTTTATATTCCAATTGACCTAGAAATATTCAACGCGGATAAATTCAATGGTAGGTAATATTACTGCACCAAAAGCATGTCATTACTATGCATCGAGCATAGCACTTAACTACAGGAATTGGGTGTATGGTAGCTTTCAAGAAAATTGTTCGAATTACTTGTACTAAGCGGCTGAGCTGCGTTTTATAATAAAATCTATTGTGATTACTAAAAATGTTTTTTTTCATATGCAGGCGGCGTCAAGTCTAAATATAGGATTGTAAGGAAAGTGGATAAGAAGTGGAAGAATTACAGCATCGGTGTTGAGACGATTATTTCAATTTTGGTACCTATACATATATGTTTTTGGTAAAATATGAGATCTGTAGTTTAGTTTACGAAAGAAATATATTATTATCGTTCTGAAAGCTTTCGAATTTCGTCATCAGGAAAATCCATATCCTTTGTCGGTAACTTTTTATATGTCCTTTGGTTCTGCGGTTTCTCTATTTCAATAACCGCTGATAAACAACTTTAGGACGAATCATGCAATTTATTGGCGGCAGACTGATTTTCTGACCAGGTGGAGGAGGCTGCCACCTGTGACCATATGTTATTAGAATTAATTGCGAACTGAAGACATCATTGCTACTTAACGCCATTATTCCATGACCATGATATTTTTGGCAAGGTCAGCTTTTACAGCTTTAATACAATTTTATAATTAAACTGTCATTAATGCAAATAAAAAGTATTTTATAAACTTAAAAATAAGAGGCATAAATAAACATAGGCAATAGGTAGACTCAAAGATGAAGGTTCCAGAAACAATGAAAATCTTGAGTGATTTCTATCCTAGTCCCACAAATATTGATAAGAAGTAAGAACTCGAACATCATAACGATCTGATTTGAAAATACATTTCTTACCATTGCACTTAGTTTTGAAATGTAGTAGCAACATTCTCTAGGTACAAAAGGCCCACAGTAGAGATTTGAAGTAACACTGCAAGAAAGACTGGTCGACAGATTGGTATATAGGGAGGTAACACAACTTGGAATACCTAAAGAACTTTTCTTAATCAGAAACGATATTAACGTTCCTTTAAGTCAAAAATGCCAACTCACACAATTCTTATATAATAAAATTATATTTGCTCAATCGAATATACATGTTATTTGAATACAACTTTTCAGAGATAAAACTCAAACCAATATTGCTTACCCATCAGTCATGATGTTGTTCACTTTTCTAAGCTGCACGTCGAGGGCGCAGTATAGAATGGTCGTTAACGTAATTGAAAAAAATGTAACTCATTATGTTGTTGAAAGCCCAGAACTGTGCGCTGTTCGATGCTGCCTCCGCAATTGTACTTAAATAAAATTCAAAGTTGATCATGCATTTAAAAGCAGGTTGATGTGTTAATTAAAATGTGCTGGCGAATTGGTTATGTCGATAATGCTATCGGGCAGCGTCTGCTCCTGAATCCCGAAACTGAAATCTTCACCAGATCGAAGGAGCTCATCAGGGTCCATGAACTTATATAATTCAATAGACGTGCATGGTATTGGTTCATTTATCTCTCATCGCTTCCTTATTCGGGCAGTGTGGACCCCGATATCAGTGATCAGTAGAAGTAGCCTCGCAATTAGGCCACTTTTTGCCTTTAGCATACAAGAGAATCCCCTATTTTTTTACGAGTATCTACTGATATGCAGTACATATCTTCAGTCGAATGATGTTTTCCTTCCCCCAGAACCTGGACGATATGGGGTCCTTAGCTACATCCATGAGGCACATATGTATTTTCAAGCTTTCTCTTGTTTTTCCTTTTTCTAGCATACTTTCATTCCAAGAATTTGAGGAGAATACGTTACAAATATTTTATTACAGGCCCCGCGGGGACTCCTTTGGTTGTAGCGTGTAAGCGGATTAGTGAACATTATGCATACTTATCAAGGGATAATCCTCCCGATGGTCCTAAATACCGCTTAATTATGCATTTAAGAGTTATTGAAAATAGTGGGTAAGTACTTTGACTCACTACTTTCCACAAATTTTATTTTCCAGAACGAACATCACACAATTCTCTTCCAGTCCAGTCCAAGGTACAAGTCAAAAACATTTCTTGAAAATTAATATATTCATATTCTGTTTATTTATACCTTCTCCAGGTATTAGAGGTGATTTGTTGTTTGTTGATTTTAGTAGATAGAACCATAAACAATTAATTGTTCATGTTAGTAACTTACAACCAATTTTCCGAACAGTGCATTAAAAATGACGAACGAGTCGAACCTATAGTTTGGCAAACGGATCTGCAACAGCGAAAGGAATGCGACCGAAAATATTCGATATTGCCAAATTTAACTACAAAAAAGCAATAATAATAATAATAAAAGTAATTTCAATGATTTGAAAATCGATTTTTCACAATTCCAAAAAATATTAATTCAAAATACTGAGAATTTTAATGGGTTGTTAGCTCTATTTGTATTTACTAACTATTTTTTACTACTGAATCGTATTATAAAGTAAACATTTTTCCAAAGATCTTATCTACATCGGTTGAGCTGGCAACAACCACCCGAAAGGTATATTGGACACCGAAAAAAAGGAATATGATTGGCGGATATCCTCACATGTTTTGTCGCCATGAGAAAATTCGACTCCCTATTGGGTAGCGTCCCAGACAATTTTTTGCTCCTTTCTTAGAATATCCATACTATTGAAAAGTCCAGTGGCGTAGGTTTTATCTCCGTTGATTGTCGTGTATGAGTTTTACAACTATTATTGTTAACTATTTATTCTTCTATTAAGTTTGTATGTTTAGTGCTGTGTGTTTTTGAATAGCTTAGTGTTTTGTTATTTGATATTGTTATTCGTTTTAGTATTATTTTTTTAAAATGAACCAATTTACTCGCGGAAAGACGCTTCATAGCCAAACAAGAGGAGTGATTGCGAATGTTTATAGGTTAGTAATAATAATATGCAATAATTGTAGTTTTTGACGACTGAGTCTGAATATAAATAAAAAACAAGGAAATGCTAAGCTAACATTCTGATGATTATTTATAGGGTTTGCGATGAGGAAGCGGCAAACAATTCCCTCAAGTTGCCGCTTAAACGTAAGCTTGATAGGGTGTCCCTTTATACCGGAGTCTGTTAGGAAAA